GTCGGTCGACTGCACTGAACGGGAGTAACACTACTCCTTCAGACAGACACTGCGCTGAATGCAATAATGCCGGATAAAATATTAGCTTCAATACAGATACGGCGACCTTATATAGGCCGCTTTCGCGCCAATGCACGACCTAGCTAGGAGGAGGTCATGATGCAACAAATTTATTGGTGCAGCGTATCATTACTGTTTAATTTATAATAAACCGCATCTGCGGCTGTGAAGCTGATTTTTTTTACGAGTTGTGCTATGGTGAAGAGAGTAAGCTGAATGTGTCATTTGCAGTCCGATCTTAGCTTGCGAAGTGCACCGGTGCTGTTGTCTTCAGAGCGTTCGAGCACTTCGCACATCTCCACAGATGGCATAGAAGCTTCGACGAAAAGTATGATTCTTATCATTAGCAATCCCATCCCTCCGATGTACACTTATCTATCATTTGTTTCGCTTAGCAGTTTTTATATGTTCTGGTGCGTTTTTCAGCCAGTTTTTGCCAACATAAAGCGGTAAGTGAACTGTACAGGGCATTCTATGCCATTTGCAGATGTGGATGAAGCAATTCGAGCAATTCAGGCCGACCCAAGCAACCTGGAAGCAGCACGTGCTTTGTTGGCCAACTTGAGTCCAACAGCAGCTGCATCTGTGCTGCAGCTTGTCAGTAAAAGCGGTGTGCTGCCACCGCCCATGATGTCGGCACTTTCAACATTCACAAATCCATCGTCATCAACATCATCATCATCGCAATCGCATCCACGAGTCCAGAATCAGCTGAGTGAATTACTAGGACAACTTGCTTCAATGGATCCAAAAGGTAGTGTACTGTTCAGACCGAAATACTATGTAAAATCATCATCATCATCATATGAGCAGCAACAACAGAACAACAGGTTTTACTGTGGGCTATGAATACTTCCGTTGCTTTTTGCCTCATTTCTGAGGTCCACGTCACTGTTACTTTGGACTCTCTGCACGACTGTCACACCTTACAAAGTATGTGTAGGAAGAGAGTTCAATTTGGCCAGGTTAAAAGCATGAAAAATAAGCAAATTTCATCCACAAAGGCGAATGTTCTAAGATTTTAAGGATCATTGCAAGTGCAACAACTGTACTGTGCGGGAAATGTTGTGTCTTTTTTGCCTCTTGTTTGTCATATATTTAATAAAATTTTGTCTTTTGCTATTTTTCATTGTGTTGTTGTTGTTCAGATTTAATTTTAGAAGTGTAATTATTATGCGTGTTGTTCTACAGCAGTAAAAAACGCATATTATCACGGGGTCGTCTGTGTGTGTGTGTTCACAGCAACTTGTCCGCAACTTTCAATTCGGGGACCACAAAAGCTAGGAAGCTGGAAATTTAGAGGAATACCTTCCAACCACGTGTAACCTCACAAATTTAAATTCAGCCTCCCCGTACTGTCGGGTAATAAGCACAATCCGTTAAAGATTTTGACGGGGAAAATTATTGTCTCAGGAACCACCGGCGCCAGGAAGCTGAAATTTTATGGGTATGTCCCTCGCCCACGTGCGATCCAGAAAATTCAAATCCAGCCTTCCCGTATCCGCAGGTAACATATACGGCTCGTGAAACTTTTGGCGGGCAAACTATTATCTCGGGAGCCGCGGAATTTAGGAAGCTGATTTTTTACGGTTAGGATCCCCTGCCTACGTACACTTCTTCAAATTTAAATTATGAACGGTGAAAGTCATTAGCAGGCAATCGTTTGTTGGATGGGATTACACAAAACGCATGATCGCACCGGTTGCCCCAATACGCATAGCTATTTATTTGTGGTAGTCATGCCGCAGTGGCAAATGGCAATTTTACCGTGTAGTAACTGAGGGTTTGACTTCACCGATGGGACAACCAATCGCTCTATGATTTAATCCTATGGTAAATAAGTACTGGTGTATGTGAGGGAGGTCATTGCCAGCTTACTTCGAAGCGACCTTTGAGAGAGAGAGCCATCGACACCCTTGCCAACAAGTGGTTGCTTGGCAAGTACCATCACTCGAGCTTCTTTCAGATACCTTTTCCACTGGCGATAAACCCCGGAAAGGGGGGGGGGGAAGAAAGGTTAGCTTTTTGAGTTATATGGGTTTTTTATGGTGCTTGAACAGTGATGTTTGAGTTACAAGAGACTGTATTTCTTAGCAGAGTGTGGAGTTTCTTCTTTAGTGTCGTGCCACCCGTTAATTTCGTAGCTGCATGAGTGTACAAGAAAAAAAAGAAGCTGTTTTATGGACTAAAAAATACTTAAGGTGTTTTGATAGCGAAAAATGGATCTGAGTTGCCCCTCGTCTTTTTTCACTGTGCCTAGTTTGGCAGCATTTGATTCCTAAGTGTACAGCAGCCAAGAGACCTCTTCATGATGATTTATCATGCGAATTGGCCCGCTACGTGCACAGTCTGTCTCGAGTCTTGATGTTTGCGTTTCTTACTTCTCTCTTTTATTTTGATACTCTTTTTTACCTTTATAGGATCATATTTTCTTGTTCCTTCTTTGTCATATCCTATATTTCATTTTTATATTAGGGGCGCATGCATCCCCACTAATGTTAGTTTTTTATTAATCTATTTTTATGCGTTTTTACGTTTATGTAAATTGCAAAAACGCATATTGGGAAGAGGCTGTCTGTATGTGCGTGTTTGTGTCTGTATATATGTGTTCGCACTTTTTGTCACCCACTTTCAACTCGAGAACCAGAAAAGCTAGAAGGCTGAAAATTTGAGGATATGTGCCTATATCATGCGCGACCCTCCCATTTTAATTTCTTTCCCCACGGACGCCTGGGTGACGCGTACGGATGCTTTAAAGAAATACGCAAATTTTTTGGCGGGGAAGCTATCACGGGAACCACACGAGCTAAGGAGCTGAAACGTTGTAGGGATATTCCCTGTGCAAGTACTAGCTAAAGATTTCAAACTCAGCTCCTAGGTGAGCGTGGTACTCATGTAAGAGCGTATAAAAGTTTTAGGGGGAAAATTCCTAACTCGGGTACCAGGGAAGATAGAAAGCTGAAACTTTGGGGTAATGTTCCTCATCCAAGCACTACTCAAATATTTCAAATTCAGCGTCCTGGCATGCATGGTACTCATTTAAGGGCGTATGAAAGTTTTAAGGGGAAAATTGCCAACTCGAGTACCAGGAAAACTAGGAAGCTGAAATTTTGGAATTTTCCCTATCCACGTATAACTCAAATGTTTCAAATTCAGCCCCAAACCTTGCGTGGTACTCACGTAAGGGCGTATGGAAGTTT